GGCGCCGAGAGATCCAGTACCACGAAATATATTATAATATATACTTGGTCGATTGTTGTTACAAGTTTTGTTTATCGATAATTCTCAATGAATGAGAGGAAATTATTTCTCTTCACAATGGTGGTTCGTGATTTTTTTCTTCTCTCTCTCCTTTATCTGTTACGAACGTAACATCTAATTTTTGCTTACCTGTTCAAAACGTTTGATATATTCTATTAAAAGTGAAAAACCAAGCGAATGCTTAAAAAGAAGCTGAAAAATAAAACTGCAGACTAATCAGTTCACTCTTAGAAAAAAAAAAATGTCTCTCTCGTTAATCAAATTCACAACGTTTTGCCGAGTCATATGCTCCCAACATGAACGATTCTGTATCGCTAGCTAAATATTATACTTTGCTTCGTTCTCTTCAACGCGTACATAAATAATACAAGACGTTAAAGTATCCAATGAAATTAAATCTAGAGTAAAAATTCCGAATGAACGAGTTAAAATGATAAGCAACTAATAAAACGGAGTATCCGCTATTTCCATAAACTAATTAAATCCCGCGCGGTGCGCTCATCTCATGAAAAGTAGCAAATATGCACCAATCAAAAAACCATTAGCAACTCCATACGACAAGCGACAACCATCACGACACTTCAGAGTTCCATTAAATTTAGATTAAGCCTAATTCAAAAACCGGGCTGAATATAACACTATTATAAGGAAGTTCTTGACAAATAAATTTTCCAAACCCAAAAGGTGGTGCTTTTCATAATTATTTCGTAAAAGAACAAGAAACTTGTTGTATACAAATTATAGTTGAATGTGCTACAGCTAAAATCGACTGGAGAAAGAAGTTATTCATGAGGTCTGTCAGGCCGTATCAAAACCTATTTGAACAGAGAGTTCCTTACGTCAGCAGTTCCAAAACTGAGGGCACGGGTGGGTCATAAGAAGTATCGAGGTGGGTCGCTAAACAAGACACAGTAGAACATAAATGTATCTTAATTATAAAGGTATTTATAAAATAATGATCCTAAAATGGTTTTTGAATAAACAAAAGCTCAGCGGAAAGTCCGAAAACTTATAACACTAAATTACGGTTTCGATACCTGCGGTGCACACAGCATAGATAGCCCATTGTATAGTTTTTGCGCTTAACAACAAATAAACAAACCCTCTTTCCCAATTGATTATGGGTAGAAGAATGGGGGATTATGTCCCCGCGGTGGACACAGCAGATAGCCCAATGCGGCTTTGCTCTAAAACAAACATATCGTAAGTTGGTAAACTTTGGGAACCCCTGTCCTATGTCGTTTGTCCATCAATAGCACAGTGGTATGTCTGCGGATTTACAACGCTAGAAACCGGGTTTCGATACCCGTGGTGGGCAAAGCACATGTAGCCTATTGTGCTTAATTTTAAACAAACAAATGTCATTTCTGTATTTGTGTCGTAATCTATAATTTTCTACACAATGAACAAAATACTTAATGAAGTCTGTTAAGCATTTTTCTTTAAATTAACTGTCAGTCTTTTGCATAAGGCTAACACTGTTTCTTATAGAAACCATCTCACCAATTTTCAGAGTGAACCAAAAAAAAATAAAAAGGACGATAAGCTTTTTCTTAAGTTTTATGTTACCGTCCCTCTAGTCTTTCACTTCAGGTGGTTAGGACGCTCGACTCGCAATCTGAGGGTTGCGATTTTGAATCCCAGTCGCCGAACGTGCTCGCCCTTTCAGCCGCGGAACGTTATAATGTGACGGTCAATCCCACTATTCGTTGATAAAAGAGTAGCCCAAGACTTTGATTCACGGGGAGGGGGAACATTTTTTTTTTTATGGAAGCATGGTTATATTTCTACTTGAGGAATAACAAAGTTCTGGATGTTACGTGCTCAATATGTAACCCCCCCCCAAAAAAAAAATAGTGCCTTTGAATTGCAAATAAACTAGTGTTATTTGTGAGTGAACAATAATTATTTTAAGTCAGTTTGTTTGTTTTGAATTTCGCGCAAAGCTACACGACGGCTATCTGCGCTAGCCGTCCCTAATTTAGCAGTGAAAGAGTAGAGGGAAGGCAGCTAGTCATTACCACCCACCGACACCATAAGTTTACGGAGTTTCAACGCTAAAATCTCCTCCTTGGCAGAACGCGCAGAGCCAACTGTATAGCTTTGCGTTAAAACAACAACAGACAAAAGACATCACACAAATTCACAACACACCCAAGCCGTGGATAAATAGTTGGTTTCACCGACATATTCCGTCATTAAAAACCAAATAATGATTTTAAACAGAAAAACAATCAATGTAAATCATGTTCAGGACAATTTATGTGACATGCGGACCAGAACTATATCATTTCCACGGCATACTTTCCTCAACAAACAAAATTTTACGATTTCCACAAGTAGAAAATCGTATTCCGTGACATACTTTCCAAAACACACTGAACTTTATTCTTTCGCACAAGTAGACAATAGTACTTAATCCCTGACATACTTTTATCAACACACAAAGCTTCATACTTCTAAAAAAAATTACAAAACTCGAGGATTGTAACAAGTATTGGAACTACCTTAACGACACGGTTGGCTCAACGCTGACTTTAAAATTAAAACACTATTGTCTTTGTTGACATTTTCCAGATGCACAGAAAAACAAACAAACAAGAATTCAGAAGTGGAATTCGCACAACGTTGGGAGACAAATGTAGTAAAATGAAACCACTGTAAAATACAACTTTGAAATAGAAACAAATTTATTTATCTAACAATGTTTTGAGCAGATTTAATATTACAACGTTGTGTTTTTACAGTGATTTTATTTAAAAAAAAAAATACAGTAAACTTTAAATTACATTTCATAAGTGTGATATTTCCAGTAAAAGCTGACATATTGCATTCTTCAATCTCAACCATTTTCTGAGCTATTGAGTGCATTGAGCCAAAGTTGAAGCAACAATGGAATTCAATAATCACAAAAGTTCACATTATGGAGAATGCGCGCCAACGCTGAACGTCAGCGTTGAATTTTGGAATCAGCTTTTTATAAAAGTTATTATAACAACATTTGTTTTGTTTTGCAATAAGTAAAAAATAAATCAAATTAAGCACTCAATATTTAATGATAATTATTAAATTTTTAAATTAATAAGGTATTTCGAAATATACATAAAAAATCTAGTTACTTCGCTTATTTTTGGGCTACCGCCATCTGTTAACCGAATACGAAATCGTATTTTACAAATTTATTTAAAGAAAACGAGATTGCGTGTTTAATACATGTATCTCGAAACAGCACTAATATAACAAATCTTTTCATTACAGTTCAGTTTCCTTTTTTTCATTTCAAGGCTTAATAAAAAAAACATTTTTGGTTTGTTTTTTTTTCCTTTTCTTAACCAAATGGTCTGTATATTTTTCTGACAGACTAAATATAGTATGATGTTATTTTAAATTTATTTTAAAGAATGAATTCGTTTTTTTTCTTATAAAATAACTCATCCTTTTAGGGATGGTTGTTGGATTTAATTTTTTTAAAGATTCATCTTTAGCACAACCAGGAAATGATAATTTATGCCATTCCTTAATGACATTTTCGAATCCATAAATAAAGGTAAATATTTGATCTTCATGCGGCGTAGCACTGAAATTATTTAAAAATTAATTTTCATGTTGATACATATGCGACCTGTTTTGGTGTAAAACAGGGGTTCTCAATCCTTACTGAATTAAGCCCCATGTTATGAAAAATATATAATTTCGCCATTCCCTATACATGCACACTCTCACACAAACGTTTTAAATAAGGTGATGACCCCCTAGCGTTGCTAATGCGCTGGTTACATTAATACCAGGCAAAATATTCATGTAACTGAGTATAAAAACATAAATGACAACAATATTACAGAGGTTACAAAATTTACTTTTAAACCTAAAGATATTCCCTTCACGGTACTGTATCAATTCATTGTTACTGTTGTTTACGAGATATTTAGGTTTCAGTTCAGTGTTAAAAAAGTAGTTTAAAGACCTTGAAACAAATGTCTGGTACAACACAGAAGCCGAAATATTATATTAGATAAATGTCAATGTGAAGTCTACATTGATGGCATTTGTGTTTACTAGATGGCGCCTTATATCCTATAGAAACAGTGTTGCTACGTGCAAAATTACCCTATTGGCTATCAGTACTGTTCTCACTGCGAGTATCGAAAGGCGGTTTTTAGCGTCAAGCACAAAGACTTAACGCTGATCTACTGGTGTTATTATAAAAACCATTTTTTACATCTCATATATATAATTTGTACCTCTTTTTATTTTACACATATTTATTCACTTAATAATAATATTTTTTAAGTTCATTTTAACTTCAAAGAAAAGTAATGATCATTTCCCAAGTTAACGTCTAAATATTGCGCGTACGATATGGGTGTTAAATGTTTATAAACTAACAACCGGGGTTATTTTTCGTACTCATGGTGACAAGTAAAGATTCCTCAAATCCTAACAAAATTAAGATGACAATACGTTGTTCCTCAAACTTCCAGATCAGAGCCTCACGTTCTACATGAATCTTGAGTATGGTCTGTTCCCGTGTTAGCAGAAATATACTCCCCACACCCCCCCAGCGATTCAGCAGTTAGTCTGAAGTCTTGTATCGCAAAAAAAGCGGGTTTCGGTAGCCGTGGTGGGCACAGCACAGATAGCCCATTGTGTTGCTTTGTGCTTAATTACAAAGAAAAAAAATTGCAGAAACATACAAGTTATTTGTGTTCACAAACCGCCAAGTGACAGAAACCGAAGAGAAACAAATAATATGATCAAGGGTAAATTCCTGGAAAATCTTTATACCAGTACATCATACGCTGATTATTAAATTGTTTAACAAACTAACAGCATAGAAAGTATTGAAAAAATTGTGTACAAAAACGTACTATTAGAAATTTGTAGAATGTGATAAAAAAAAACGTCATGCCCTTACTAAGTACCAGCTAAAATTCATCGTAGATAGAACTGCTAAGTTACGTAATACTTCACAAAACAGTAATTTCCACGGACCAAAATTTATTAGTTGTATACAACTCAAGAATCCCGATATAAAAAAATAATTTACAAAGTTGGCACAATACGCTCTCGATATAAAATAAAATACTAAAAATACCGCAAGCTGCAATGAGAGTAATATCGTCTAGCACGTTTCTAAAAATAATGTAGAACAAAATATATATAAGTAATATTTGGAAAGGAGATAACTTCTCGTTATGAAGTTTATAAAGTTAGAAATGGTCAGCAAAGGTAATTTAGTAATATTTTAATTACATCACCAAGTCAAGAAACAAAAACTTGCCTCTTAGTAATTAAATATGAATCAACCTATGCAAAAAACAGAAAAGAAAAGCATGTGGAAAATGGCGAATAATATCGTAATTATTAATTTTAGGTACACAGTTAATTACAAGTCTATTTAAATAGTTTAAAATAAGATTTTTTAGTCAAATTCTCAAAGTTTCCCCATTATAGAAAAACGCGACGCACATACTTGTAAAGTTTTCTTAGTATTTACGAGAAAATCCCTGCTAATCAAAATATTAATTATAGGTATTCTTCGCGATAGAACTAAGTCGCTCAGAAGTCACGATACATTTGTTATAATTCAAATTCTAGTAATGCTTTATCTAAAATGTTAACTTGTTAGTTACACGTTAGAGGCTGTTTCACGTTATATATATATATATTGTACGTGGACAATTTACATATAATGTTCATATTTCAAACGTGAAATTCCTCATGTATGATCCTTCCACGATGCTTTAAAAGTGTCAGAATCCCGGTGTTTTAGTCCTCCTACATTGAATCCTTATTTCAGAGAATTGGATAACACTGTTAACAGAGATAAGGTAACTCAAACAGAATGTAATAATATGATAATACAATGTAATTTTTTCCAACAAAAATAATTTTCCTATCAATATAAATATTCACTGGACTAGATGTCAACAATAAGATGACGTTCAAGAGGCACAAAAATGATAATAAAAATACTCAAACGGGGGGTGGAAGGGGAGAGAGGTGACGCCCAACATAAAAGGATAAAACAGTTACCTTCTAAAGAGGATGTAAAACATACATACACTGGCATTTCATCACTGTGAGCTAGGCATGTTGAAGATGATGCCGAGTTACGTCTGATGAAACGTCGAAACCTAGACATGTGGTATCTTCCTTTTTTTTAGCCGTTTTATATTTATTTTAACGCGTAATGGGTAGAGTATGCACACAATATATAACCAGAAACGACCTGATTTTGATAGCTGAAGCTTTCTTCTTTTTTATTTTTTATAAGAACTACTCAGTTATTAAAATATTTCAACTTGTAATACATTTTTCAGTAACTTTTATACTTGTGTGAACGAGTACCAAACTGTTTACAAAATCATAACAGTATTACGTCACGAACAGTAAGAAACGTTTTACACATCTAAATGCACAGAATGCCAACGAATGACATAAAGATATTGTTCTCTTTCGCAGCATATCTTAATTCATACGATCATATGTACCTTCGTAGGACAAACTACTGATGCTATCACCAACGGCGAAAATCTAAAAACAAAGAAAAAAAATCTAAGCTTGTTGTTTCTAGTTGCTTTGCGTGCATATGTTTATAAACCTACAAAGTCAAGCATTTGTTTTGTTTCTGCAAGCATTGTTTAACAATATTGCTAGTTTCTCCAGCCTATGGGCATTTCATCGAAGATGTGCATAAGCTTAGGGCGTTTTTATAATTGTGTACGAAATAATTGAAATTATGGTTTGTTCCGGAAATTTCGCGAAAACCTACATAAAGGCTATTTGCGCGTATTATTGTCCCTAATTTTGAACTCGTAGACTAGAGGGAAGGCAGGTAATCAACAAAATTCATCGATAACTCTTAGGCTACTCTTGTCTGATTGAATAGTGGGATTTGATCTTCTATAGAGACCCCATGACGATAAGTTACGAACCATAAATCTTCGGGAACGCTAACAACTAGGCCACGATCATATTAAACAAATTGGAACAAAAGTCTGAAAGGTTACTTCAAAGGTGGGTTGGTTTCATAACATCCATGTTACACGCGTTCAGATTATATCTTGTACACAAACTCACACTTTACATATATTATTTCAAATTAAATTTTTCAGTGCCATTACTTCTGAAGCTTCGTTTAACGTGCGAGAAAGAAACGTTTTTAACAACGTCGACGCCCTTTCTTTGCTTACATTTCGTAATTTCGGGTTCCAAACTGAAAACTTGCTTACATTAAAATAAACGAAGAGAGAAAGCGACAACTGACGCTTACTCTTTAGAGACGCTACTCTTGGACTCCCGTCTTAGCTTCTACATATTATTTATTCTAATTGTGCACTGAATATTTTAGAAAGACCCTTGGTTACAAAAGTACAAGGACCTCCCTCTCCCCTATTAAAACTGTATCCAGTGTATTATTAGCCCGTAATAATGTCTCTAACATATCAGGTAGATAAGCCTTCATACACATAATATTAACTCTCAAAGTAAAGATGAGTGATAAGAACGAGGACCTGTTATTCTATCTTCAGTTCCTCGCTAAAAGGTAAGCATGACAACAAATGAAAAAACAAACATATTATGAATTCTATGTAACGCAAAAAATAAGTAAATTGGGGTGAAATAAAACGTTATATGTTAATACAATTTTATTAGACTTATTGCCTACTACTGTAAGAAAACATTTTCTTGAATCATATCTTCGGCATCTGTTAGCTTAGCTGTCTACTTCAAAGTGTTCGTGCTAAGCCAAGGCCGGAACACTGGTAATACTGTTGGATAATGGGTTCCTTTTTTCCGTTGAAGAGTGCCATCTGTGTTCCTAATCGGGTAGGTAGCCATCATGATTGGTAATTGAAGTTTAATTTCTTTCTCTGGTCCTTTGGGGTAGATCAAAAACTGAAAGAAGTGGTGAAAAATGGTTATCAAAATATGTCGTTAGTCATATACGCCAAGGCAACACGAAAAGCTATCTGCGCATAGTTGTCATTAATTTTGAATTGATAGACTAGAATAAAGGCAGCTAGTCAACAGCACTCACCCTCAACTCTCCATCTTCTCTTGTCTGACCAAATACTGTGATCTGACTGTTACTCTTATAGCGCACCCACGGACCCTTAGTGCGGAGCGCGTTTTTGCGGGAACAGGCCGAGAAACACGTACCCTTGGATTCACAGTTCGAGCACACTAACCGCTAAACTACGTCCGCCCAATCATGTCACTAGTTATTTTTCTTAACGTTCGGTTTTGTTTGTTTTAAATCTAGACTGTCACATCTTGTCTTACGTCACTCGGTTGAGGTAATTTATTTGAATATCGAAAAAGTACGAAGACATTAACGTCGGTATATACGTCGGTATATAAGAAAACAGTCAGATATATTAATCACTGGGCTAGACACCGGAAAAGTGTTCGAACAGTTCTACTTACAAAGAGAAATCAATAGGACTGATCAGACGAACGCTTTGAAATAGAATTATGACATAAAATATTTCCAAATTTGATATTCCATCAATAGATGTCTCTATTTCGAATTACCATAATTTGGGGTTACATGAGACAACATGGCAGCCTCTAGCAGTTGACCACGTGCAGATAGTGTTACCAAAGCTTACTAAACTGCTTTGTTACAGGTAAAAGTCAATTTTTAATGCATTATGACAACTGTAAGTTTGTGAAGAAGCTGCCAAAAAGTTAAACAATTTAAGATGTAAGGATTGTGCAACCTTTTGCACATGGTCCCTACAATACTTCTAAATAGCTAGTGACAGTTTTTTCACTAAATTTTAGGACTACTTGTGTAGTGGTGCAACCTGATATTACTAGTGATGTATTACTCAGGTAATGTTTTTACAACTTTTTTACACCTGACCGCAAACGTTATTATGTGTCTATGATAACGTTTTGGTTCCTTCATCACCATGCTCAATGTAGCATGCTGGGTGTTACCCTTGATTCATGCTCACTGGCTTAATTAAGGAAATGTAGGGACATGTACTAAACGTAAGTAACTAATGTACGTTTCTTTGCTGAGTGTTACCATTGATTCATGCTCACTGGTTTAGTTAAGGAAATGTAGGGACATGTACTAAACTTAAGTAACTAATGTGCATTTCGTTGCTTTTTTTTATTTATCCATGATCTTACATTATGTTAGAATAAAATACTTTGTTACAAACTGTATAATTTTATCTTTTTGTAGCAGACTCAGTAGCAGTGTCCAAGACCTAAAGATGCTTTAAACGAAGTGGCTAGATACCCGGCAGCCGGGAACGATCTTTCAAATACTAAATACCCGGCAGTCCAAAAATTTAAATATTAATGAGCTACGATAACCTCTCACTTGACCCAGAGAATGAGTAACACTAAGTTAGAAGACTGATTTGTCTTCAAGCTCAATGAAACAATATGAATAAAACTTTTTGCACTGGAAAAATAAATATCGATCATCATTGTTATTTATTGTTGATCGGCGTGTGTGTTTGCTATAAGCTGCCGAGAACGACCCTCGAAATACTAGTCCATAATTTTACAATCGTGGATATTGATAAACTTACATTATGATGATAATTTATATTATTTATATATAATGTGTAATAATATATATATATATATATTTCTGAAATTATCATTAGTATTAATATATCATGATTATTTATTATTATTATTGTTGTTGCTGTAGCTCGTAAATATACAAATTTCTGGACTACCGGGTATTTAGTATTCGAAAAATTGTTCCGGGTTGCTTGGTATCTAGCCACTGCGTTAAATTTATACACACAGTACTAATATTAGTAGACTGCTACTAACGTTAGGCCTACGGTGTACTTTTGAGTTTGCAAATTGTAATTCACATAAATATAGCTGAACTAATTAAAAAGTTTATGTAAACACAATATAAATTATAATTTCTAACAATAGAATAAAACATTGAAATAACCTAAAGAAACATACATTTAGGCTTACGATTCTTAATGCTAAGCATGTTGGTAAAAGCAGCTAAACGTTAGTACGTTTACCAGTGAGACAAGTTGTATGAAATTGGCTAGTAGCGGAGAAACAAGAGATAACATGGCATCTTCCAAGTTGTATCGTAGGGACAACCGGGGGAGGAGTGGCAGTGGGTCATAAATGTCAGTCAGTACCCTCCCAGTTCTACCCTTGGTGAAAGCGTACCAGTGGTGGTGTGTCTTTGTTGAATTTCGTGCAATGCTATTCGAGGGCTACCTTCATTAATCGTCTCTAATGTAGATTAGAAGAAAGTCAACATCACTTACCACTCTACCAACGAAATGTAGGATTGACTATCACATTATCACATCCCTACGACTGAAAGGCCGAACATGTTAGGTGACGGGATTCGAACCTGCGACCCGCAGATTGTGATTCGATCGCCATAACCACCAGGCAATACAAGGCCTTCAGATTAATTTTGAATACGTGTTGATAATTTATGGGTTAGGGTATAACTCCTGCTTTTTGAAACACTATTAAAAGTATGTCAAAAATGCACCAGATATGCTTTAAAATTACTTAAAATGCAGGAGATTCAGGGGTTTTGTCTGGGCTTCCCCTTATCCCTGTCCTTTATAGACCTCGAAGCAAGTTATGTCTCCTTCTTCTCAAAGTATGATCAATGGATTGCCACTCTTAAAATCCAATTCGATATATTAAAAAACACTAAAGTAATTTAACCCTAATTTACTCAGTACGTTTTGAGTTATTTCGCCCCCCCCCAGTGGCACAGCGCTATGTCTGCGGACTTACAACGCTAGAATCCGGGTTTCGTTTCCCGTGGTGGGCAGAGCACAGATAGCCTATAGTGTAGCTTTGTGCTTAATTACAAACAAACAAACGTTCTGAGTTATTTCGACAAAATTAAAAAAAAAGGAGAAAAGAAAAATGACGCAGGTAATAACCATGATATTAAGCCATATAATCTTTGGGATGGACATAGTATAAGATATCCAGTTTGGAATAAATTAAGTATCCCTATCAATCTTTTTTATTGGTGTGAATTTTAATGTGTGTTTACTAATAGAATATGTATTAAATGGTAAGTATTTTGTTAGATAGTTAATATAGTTTAAAATAAGTCATAAGAACAAACCACAAAACCTTTGTCCTCAACCATGCGTTTCGTCCAACTTTTTTTTTTTCATCCTTAAACTCAGAATTCCACATTTTTCGCCCCCAGCGACTCAATAGCATGTCCGAAGGCTTATAACGCTAAAAACCGTGTTCTGGTACTCGGCATAGTTTTGACCGGGTTTTGAAAGAGCACAGATAGCCCATTGTGTAGCTTTGCGCTTAACAACAACGAACAAACAAACCGAAAACCTCAAGGACTCTTCTCGTAATGGTGGTAAAGTTTTACAATAGAACTTAAGTCAAATTAACTGCTCAGTTTTCTTTTAGAAAATGTGGTGAGTAAAGGAATAAAAATAGCAAAAAAAAAAATATTTAGAAGAGTAAACTAACAACAAACAATTCGAGACCAGATTAATACGGAACCGTCACTTTCTTGCCATGTCAAATAAATATAGAAATAATAGTGTAAGCTGCTGAATCCATTACTCTCTCCCTCTCTCTCGTAACACTTACATAAACATCATACTGGACACGAATTAGGTGACAACCACGCAGGTTTGTGGGTGGAAGAGGTGGAATATAAAGTAGCTCATTTTTCCACTGATCCGTAGAATCAGCAGAAATCTCTCCCTTCTGAAGAGAAGCCAGTTCTCTAGTCTCAGCCTGAACTAACTTGTTTTTTGCAGTGTACTGTATCGTCTACAAAGAAGAAAACGAATAAAATGTAAATAAAAAGAACAATACTGGAGCATTTGTTTATCTTTATCTAGGCAACACATCTTTTTGATAGAACAGTTTTTAATTTTTCCGAATAAAATAAAGTAAAATGCTATGGCGTTCTTTAGGATGTAAAAATCGAGCACAAAATAAATGACAGAATTCGTTTTCAGTTAAGTTTCTCTAAGCTACGATTCTTATTAAGTAAATATTATTATTTATCCATCTTATCCAGGAAAAATCTTAAAGTGTAATTGATATTAAAATACTTCACAATCTGAGCGTTTAGGAGGGTGTGTAATAGGTACGATACTATCAATATTTTTGGATAAATTTAGCAAAACGGACAAGTAATTGCATATAGAGTGTTATAAATAAATAATATTATTTCTAGTGTAGCCAGCGCTATATCTTATTATAACGGAGCTTGCGATGTATACGTCCAAAACTCGGATCTCGGAAACTACCGCACCGATCATCACCAATCATAACTGGATAATATTTTTTTTTATAACTAGGCGGTATTTTTATAGCTGAGCAATAAATAAAGCAATTAAAATTTCAAAAAATGATATGTTTCAGATTTAACCAATAATAATTACAAACAAAGAGGAGTAAGTTTCAAATATAAAACAATCAAAAACAAACTTTAAAAAATATTTGTTTT